CATGGAAGTTACAAATGACATTGACTATTGGATGTAAAATTGAGTGGTTGTTTTTATTCTATTGATTAAAAGTTCAAAAAAAAAAAAAAATTTTTTTGAACTTTGTGGCACATCCAACCTGTTATATTTCACATCTAATGGCTATAGATGAGTGTGGCCTTTTTGTGCGATAAATAGAGTTTTATTAGTATACAATCCTATAACAAAAAGAGTGGGGAACATATGTTGGGATTGGTAGAAATTTAAACAACTCAATGAAAAGTGAATACAGTAATCTCGGGAACTAGCGAGATTTAGTTGATTCTTAGGTCTTGATGAGGCACCCTATCAGGTCTGAGTGACTTTGAGCCCAAGGCAAGTTTTCAAACATTAATTTAATAGGTCTATGACGGTAAAAAATTTACGCAAACCGCAACGGTCGGCGCATCATTCACTGTGGGTTTGTTCAATGAACCCCTACAGACATAACAAGTCCGTGGGGGTGGCAAAACAGTGCAACACTTCACTGTTTTTAAGGTTTTTCATATATATATATATATATATTTATATTATAGAGTATTTTATAATTGTATTCAATAAATTTTAGACGCTTATATACTCTTATAAGTGTTGTATCTCTTCTTTGATTTGCTTGCTAAAAGAAGCATCTACCGAATTAATTTGTTTTCTACAAAAATCTCAAAATAAACTTGGACGAAGAAATACTACATAGGTTTAAACTTAAATTAAGACGATTGGACGCAGAATTCATTTTGAAAAAAAGTGAGTGGAGAATCAAAAAGAGAGGAGGCCTTTCTTCTACTCAAAAGCACAGAGGGCAAAATAAAACCGAAAAGATAGTATGCGCCTTTGGGAGTACAATGTCCATTTCCTTACCTATCTAGGACCCCAAATTTTGCTGATGTAACCTTTAACTCTTAGATGTACCTCAATAAAAGAAATTTTATAATTGCGTCCTCTCTATACTTAAAATAGGCAATATCTCAATATTGAATAGAGACCGTCCAATTTTTAGAGGACAAGATTTAAATTTTAGAAATCTCAAAATTCAAATTTTTTCCTTTTGAGAATAACCATCTAATGATTTTTTACGTGGTTCCCAAAATTTCAGATTGAAAAATCCTCACAAGTAGGTATACTGACTGACAGAATAAATGTACATTGTACTCCTTTTGAAGTATAATATACACACTCAAAATCAAAACATGAGTGTGCCTCCGTAGGTGTAGAGGTACGGTGCCCTTCAAATTTTATCATGGTATATAATTTTTATGTAAAATATTATTAGGATTATGTCAAAATCTATTTTTATATCTAATTATAAAATTTTAAATTTCAAAAATGGTCAAAATCAAGTAGATCTATAACATATGAAAATCTTGAAAATATACGGTGTAGATAATATGTTGTAAAATAAGCTATTTTTGAGACTTAAAATCTTTTTATTTTTCATAGTCATACATCTCGATGTCGAGATGATCAATCAAAGGGTTTTTCAACATTAAAACTACCTTTTCCGATGGATTTTTGAGGGGCATCCGTAATTTTGCATTATAAGGTAGCATCCATAAATAAACTTTTGCCCTTAAGTAATTCAGTTATCTTTGGTCAGTTGACACCCTTAGCAAATTTCATAATGAAAATAAATAGTTTTGTCCCAAATAAATTTGATGTGACCGTCACATTTTTTTTGAAACAAGAATAGCCAAAAGATTTCATACTCCAGGAGAGTATATTATCCATTGACTCCCTATGTTAAAACCCAATCTAGGAATAATTGTAGGACCCCAAATTTGGGGATGCAAGCTCCTCAACCCATGGACTAACCTCAATAAATAAAATTTGTAAATTGTGCTCTCTATGCACTTGAAAAAAATAACGTATCAAGATTGAATAGAGACTATCCAATTTTTGGTGGGTAAAATCTAAGTGTTACAAACTCAGAATTCAATGTATCTAAGTGTTACAAACTCAGAATTCAATGTATCTAAGTGTTACAAACTCAGAATTCAATGTTTTTATTTTGAAAATAATTATCTGGTGATTCTTAAATGATTTTTAAAATTCCATATTGAGGAAAAAATAAAAAAAACCTTTCAAGTATGTCTTGTCACCGAGGGAGTAATCTATAACATGCTCTTGAGGGAGCATAGTATACATGCTCCTAAAAATATATGTCACACACAAACCTTTGTTTCCAGACATTCTATGCATTGTCTTGGTGTTAAAGGAGAACTTGCCCTTATAGTTGCTGTTTTGTGGAGTAATCTGTTTAAGCCTCTTTATATTGGTAATCTAGTCTTTTTGAACAACAAATTGGCCTAAACATGCTATGGATTATCTCGGTAAAAGGTGGAGTTTTTATAAAATAAAGGAGATTTTACGTTCGTATTACATTTAAAAGGAATGCATAATATGAGAATATTTATTTTTGGTACAAGAAGGTCACAATCATTTTTAACCATTTGATTTGAAATTTTGAGACTAAGAACAATACACAAAGTTTGACAAAAATTTCATCGAGCATTGTGCATAAAGAATGACACACCCATTGCTATTTGATTTCACATTTGATGGCTAAAAATAAGCGTGACATACTTGTGTCAAAAGTAAATGGTCCCATCTTATACTCTCTCATATTTAAACATGATAATTATGCAAAGTTCCTACCTTTTTTCTATTTTTTTCGAGTTGCTCTTCGATCCAATGTTTTAAACATCGAACCATGTTTTTTATCTTATTGTTTAAATCTTTTTGAAGTGTAGGGCTTGGTCCGAGATTTGAGACCTCGATGTTGGCTTGCATGAACATTGTGCAAGCCATAGTCCATATACTTGTTTGAGGTATGGAACCTTGGACCGCTAAGTTTGCACAATGTTCATGCAAGTCAAGCGGTTCGAGTTTTGGAACTTCAGAGCGATCTTTGGAGACCAATCCGAATTTTCAGACCTTGGAGCGCTTGGCTCCCACAATCTTCACAGAAGTTGAGAGGTTTGAGAATCCAAACCTCTGACCGTTCGATACACTTTTCCAAAAAAAAAAAAGAAGCATTCCAATGATTAGAGCGTCGGTGCAAAATTGGAGAAAAAACCGAATGGACCTTTGTTTCAAATTGCAAAAATTAGAACCTCTGCATAATTCTCTATTTTATGGTAAGGACATAATTTTTCCTAAAATGAAGAACAAGTTATAAGCAGCCCAAAGAAAGACTTCTAATGCAACAACACACCAGTACATAGGTGTCATGCACAAATAGAACAAGACACTAGTAATACAAAAGCCGTAGATCAATAGGGATCCCAATGTGAAATAAATCAAGTATGGACAGAGTTTTAACACAGAGACGTTAAGGGATGGTTTATTGGTTGGAGCATAAAAGTGCTTCACTTTGAATTTTTCAAGACAAGAACAAAATGAATGAGTTTCTTCTTTCCTTCATCCAATTGAAGCTGTCAAACAACTGAGATATTTGACCAAGGGGCTCGCATGATCAATCCCAACTCTCTGGTTATGTGTTATTGGTAGTTGCTCGAAACGAACGCTCACCCTTCTCTCTTCATCTTCTTGTGCAGATGGATTATAGAGGGCCAAATTAAATGAATATAACTTCTCCTCTTCAATAACTCCCTGTCTTTTCCCCATGATGCCTAGGGCAACCCACCCTACACTCTCCTCTCTAGATTCATATTTAGTCGCTGGTGTGCACTGCCACTTCTTTTTTTTTTTATTATAAATCTTTTTTAGCTAAAATTTTGTGGAGAGGTGCATGAGACCTACACACAAAAGAAAAAAAATGCCAAAAATCATATACAGATTAAAATGTAAAAAATGCCTCCATGCTGCCAATGAAAAATGGGCCATCCAGATTCTTAAAACTGGGTTGTATAATGCCTTGTACGCAAATTGGCTCACAAGATCAAGTTCCTATATGTAGGGACTGTTGGGTGCACCACTCAACTCCTCTTACATGAATGGTGATGAGCTAAATTTATGGAATAAACAACATATACCAAAATGTGCGAAATCCAGATTTATAAAATACAAAATATACCAAAAGGATGTGAGTGTGTGTATGAGTGAAGAAACATGCAGTAAAACAAATGAAATTTAATAACTTATTCGCACCAATATTTACGTGGTTCACCTTTTTAAACTACATGTATGAGAGAAAAAGATAGATTTTCTACCTATTAAAATGATAGTTACAAAGTTCTTCTAAGAACTAAGGTTTCTTAGGATATGTGATTTCTTCAATAGCATTTGGTTCATCTTCTCTCTAAGAATAAGGGTTTTCTCTTAAAAGGCTATCTCTATTTTACTAATACACCTACACCTATAGAAGAGATATTTACTAAAATGCTGGGGTGAGTCCAAATAATAGGTACATGTACTTGTAATTGTTTTAAGGGCAACTTACAAGTTTGAGAGTAGACTTTTCTAAAATCACCATTAATATGGTGAATTCTAGAGTAGGTAAATGTTTCTATACTTTTTCTACATCATGGAAGATCTATACTTTCTTTATCATTCAGCTGTCCAATTTTGATCAAGAGAGTCGCTCACCGTTTGATCTTAGATCCGACATCTCAAAGTATTTTATTTTTAGTTTTTTTATATAAATTGTATAAATATGAAATTTGGTACGTGTCATCTTCTCATTAAGGCGCACATATAAAAATATATTAAAAATAATTTTTCGATAAAATATAATGACCAAAACACCTTTTGAAACTTTCAAAAGTATTTTGGTCATTTTATTTTATTAGTTTTAAATATTTTTCGCTAGTACGAGTTTAATAGAAGATTGGAGGTACAAAATTTGGTATTAAAATAGTTTATACAATTAAAATAGAATGGTGTAGAGATGTGATATTGTGATTGGGGCAATCTCAACCCTCCATTCAGAATGGAGGGTTGGATAAAGAGAAGTATACAAGTTGATGTTGCAGGAAAATGATATAAAGCTAGCCCGAATAGGGAAAGGTTTTCCCCTATCAAAACACTTTCCATAAAAATATTTATTACTGAATGAGATGGAGAAAGACGTTGTTAAAACGTAGGGTACCCTAGACTCTAGAGTTTCTCAATGTGCTAGGGTCCCTATCGACAAGGAGACAGCCCTTGTGTCCCTCTCTCCTGAGGGTCATGTTCTCAGATGTAGGGAGTTATATGGAGAGGGAAGAATAGAAGGCGGTCTCTTTAGAGAGGGAGAGGGGGAAGAAAAGTGGTGGTCTTTAGAGAGAGAAGTAAAGAAGGTGGTGTCTCTGTTTTGGAGCGTATCAGTGTGCTCCTCGGCTGTGTTGTTTTTTTGTGGTGGGGAAGCTTCCGAAAAAGGGAAGTTATGTCTTTGGGTTATGCGGAGAAGCTTTCTTACAGGGAAGATGTGGGAAGTGTTGGAATGTCTGAGATTTTTGATCCACCCAATCTTTTGGAAAGCAAGGTAGCAACAAGCCTCTCTCTCTCGCTCTCTCTCTCTCTCTCATTCCGCTTGCTCTGTTTCTCTCTCTTCTTTCACCTTGCCCTCTCCCTCTCTCGTTCCGCTTGCCGCTTGTTTTGTTTCTCTCTCATTTGAGCTTCTTCTCTCTTCTTTCAGAGCTCTCTCTTATTTATGCTTATTATCTCTCTCGCTCATATCAGCTCTCTCTCCCTCCTCTTATTTCAGCTTTCTCCCGTGCTGTCTCTTATTTGAGCGCGCTCTCTCTCTCTCTCTCGCCCTGTTTTATTCCTCTTGTTTCAGCTCACTCTCTCTCTCTCTCTCAATATATCTTTGAGTTTGTCTTTTTACTTTTTAGCTCTTCATTTTTCTCGAGTTGCCGCTACTTCTTCTTCATTTATTATTTTTTCCTGAAGGTGTTTTGTTTGCGGGTGGAATGAGGGTGGTTATGATAACAGGTTTAGAAGAACATAAACCCTTTTACTAATTGATTCTTCAAAGTAATATGTAATTTTATGCAAAACGTTGTTGAATACCCTCTTCAACCAGAGAAAACATATATTTTTCATCAATAGACCACCAAAACACTTTCCCTAAAGGACATCTCCCAGTAAAATTCGTCACACTCCACTCCTCTTAGTCTTTAATGATTGAAATCCCTTTTTGCATTCATACATTCCTGTGGATCTTGAGGTATTCTTTTGTTCGTTGTATATTGTTAAGTAGCAATGGCTTCCCTAAGCTCATATGGAAGGGGTTTTGGCTTTTAGCCCCACCCCATATTACCAAATTGCTTCTAACATAGTATGAAAGCTCTTTAGGCGAGCACCATTGAAAGCAATGCCTGTCTGATACATCCAGCGGGTAATATACTGAGATACTTGAGCACAGTCTTCCTTCTTAAACCAATTTTCAGTTGTAACTTGCTTCTTCCCTTTCTCTACCATGGCCTCAAGGTGGGCGGAAAAAGACATCCATAGACCCCATTCTCTTTTAGTACCTCAAGAGAAACTCACTTCAGTTTCCTCTTTGTCATCATCCTCGTTATCACCAAATACATTACATGGCCTGTACTCCGACATGCTTGTGTCCCTTGCCGCTTGTTCTTTTTTCAGCATCCAAATATTCAATTATCTCCTTCCTAATATTTGCTAGAACATGCTTATGTGGGAACATCCCCCCTAATACCCCTATTTGTCTCTTGATCATTGAATGGACCGACCTTTGTTTCGATCATTTTCATTTGCACAATAACCATCGGTGTTTCAAAATATGCTGAGCGGCCCTTAGGCAGCCGGGGGGTCTAGGCAGTCTAGTGCGTAGGTAGGTGCCAAGGGATCTGGGCAGTCTAGGTTCAAAAGGGGGCCAGGGGTGTCCAGGATCCTATTTTAGGTTCAGATTTTGTATAAAAATGCATATTCATGCATTTTTTATAATCCACACAAAAAACAACAAAAATGCCGATTGATATTTTTGCACCTAGACAAGTACAGTCCTTGGCGCCCACCTAGGCGGGGTCCTAGGTGCACGCCTAGGGCCAACTTGCCTAGTTGGTTCGTCCTGGCTTAGGTGATGCCTAGTGCTGGGCGGACCTGTTTTTGAAACTATGATAACCATATTATCAACTCGAATCCCCTTCTCACAAGAACCTGAACGAGACATTTCAAAAAAATGAAAGATCCTCAAATATAGAGATATTTGACTAATGAAAGATTCTCAAATACATACACACACACACACACATATATATATATATATATATATATATATAATAATA